CTTTCCTTGAGGACTCATGACACAAAACAAATCATGGAGACGGGGAGCTCCCTCACTGTAAATTTGCCCTTTCTGTAGCTCTCAAGCTGCTCGTGAACGAGAACAAATCCTTGGCAGCCTTCATGAGGTATTATCTTCACCCTTGCTTTACAGAGCCAGACAGACTAACCCAAACCTGCGTGGTCTGGGACCCCCGGCAGCGAGCCCACAGCCCAGCTCAGAGATGGAGCTCAGCACCATTAGCAGTAACTTCATCCAATGTGCTGTGGATGGAGAAGGCTTTACACAAAACCCAAAGGCAACACCTCAGTAGACCTTGCTGGCATGGGTAAGCCAACACTGTCTTCTATGTCAACACCCCCAGCACCCCCTCTCCCTGATGCTATGTGCCAGAGTTTTTAAAGCCAGTGCCTCAGTTGGGCTGCTCAAAAATAAGCACCTGTGGGGTTTGTTAGTGGAAAAATATCACCAATGAACCACCTCGCAAGGGAGAGGCAAAAGCTTTTTAATACTTAGGATACAGAGGCCGTGATGGATATTACCACTTAAACACGTTAAATTAAACTCCTTCTGGTGTAGCTGGGAAAAGATGATGGACGGCTTAAAAGAAAGAGCAACATGTTATTAAAGATGAGGAGAAACACTGCTCTGCTCGAGAGCCCTTCTGGCTAAATGTTAACCCGGGTCCCTGGAGTGTAAGCTCACATCTCAGCCATCAAACGTGGTTCCAGAAGCACAAAACAAAGTGTCACCTGAAACTGTGTCTCTGAGGAAGGAACAAGCCAGAAAAACTCATCTGAAATCAGACGTGGCTGCTGGTGTGGTCACATCAGGACACAACAGATTGTGTGAACCCCTTTGCTTCAAGAATATGCTTCCTCAGAGCTCCCCCAAATTCCCAGCAATTTGCACAGGGACGCACAGCACCCAAACAAGGCAATAGCGTGGGGAAAGGAACCGGTTTCCTTTGCCAAAGCCTCTCTCTCCCACGACTTACGGACGCAGTCGGGCTGCACGCCGCTCCACGTCAGGTTGGGGAGGCAGGTCCTGGTGGTGGAGCCCTGCAGCAGGTAACCCTTCTGGCACTTGAAAAAGATGATGCTTCCCACCTGTTACAACAGCAGACAAACCTCTGAACTCTCCAGCACAAAGGAAGTCACCCGGGACTGCAATACACAAGCATATTTCATCTCCTGTACGCTGGAGAGGGCAGTCACCTGCTCTCTGCCCTCACGGCCCTGCCAGTCTGGTGCTGAAAGCTCCCAGAGCTCCTGGAAAGCTGCAGCCTTCACTGTGCAGAGAATTCTCTTCCTCCAGTGATACAGGCAAAGCTGCTTTGTCTTTTAAATACACCAAAGCCAGCATCAAACACAGGTGCTATTAGAAAGGGGTGTGATTTCTGCCTCTCTGGTGTGCACCTCTCAGAGTGGCAACCCTTGTAAAAGTCACAGTTACGGTGTCTCAGGACTAATTAAGCACTAGAATTAATTCATTAAACCCCAGGATTAATATAACTAATGAACAGCAAAACTGAAAGATCCACTCTGGGAGGAGTAGCCATGTGAATCAACTATCTTGGCCCAGCCACTGCAGGGAAGGGGCATCCACAGGGATGGTGGTAAAGGATGGAGATGGAGCGCCCTGGGGAATTGCTTTGGTTTTTTTCTCTCCTTTCTACTTGATCTCATGCTGTACAGGAGCTGAGATTAAGAAAACCACCTACAGAATTTGGTCTGAAAATTAATGGAACTGATGTCTCCAGTGTGAATACTAATCACACCAATAGCTATTAATTAGCACTGTATTTAATATCATAAATAACTCATTGCTAGTTAATCCCATACAAACACACTATGAGGTCTAACAGAGCACACCAGGATGTCCTGCTCAACAGAGGACACATTAACTCATGTCAGGACTCAGACATGGAGCAACCACAGCAAGGATCGGGGCACAGCTGAGGGACCCCACTGCTGGGGCAGTACCTGGTAACCCTGGGAATTGTTCTGCATCCCAAAGAGAGGCACGCCGGGGTCTGCACACGTTGTGAGGCTGGGGTCTGCAGAGGAAAGAGGAGAGGCAGTGTTCTAGAGAGGTTGTGGAAGCCACGTCAGAGCTTCCCTTGCTCTCCACACAAAGATCACGCTGTGCCTTTGCAACAAGACAGAAATATTTTGCTACAGAAGGAATACACACAGCAACAAGGAAAAATACATGGCTCTTTTTGTTTCTTAAATCCCTGACTGCTGCAACACAAGCTAACCAGAGGCACTCTGCCACTCGGGAGAAAACAAAAGCAGTCTTGTGCCAGGGACAACTCTCTTCCTTTCCCCTGTTCTATACATGATGAGTGAAGCACCCGGCTCACCAGGGCTGTGCCCTCTGGTTCCCCTGCACCCAGGGCTGTGGTGACCTGTCCTCTCCATGCCGTGGTCACTGCCTTCATCCTTCTGGGCTCAGCTCGCCCATTGCACCTTGGAACCTTGCTATCCCCTCGTGATAGACAGGGCCTGGAAATTTCAATGCACCTCAGCTACATAATCTCTCTTTACACCTCGTTTGGTCTCAATCTATCAGAAGATGAACACACACTATTCAGAAGGAATACCTGCTGCTACTCCTCCAGCATCTATCACTTTCTTTTCTTCCCAGCATGTCGACAGTAGCAGGGCATCAATGGAATTAAGGCAGAGATGCATCATCATTAATATAAGCCTCCCAAACTGAGCAAAGGAAACTGAAGCTTCTGTCTCAAAGGCGGTTCAGGAGCAGCCCTGCTCCCTGTGATCACAGGACTGAGCTAATCTGCAGTGCTGGCCACAGGGATGCTCTGGTACCCAGCCAGGAGTTGCTACCTTAGCAGGGAGCTGGATCTCAGAGAAATCAGCTGAGAGTCTGCTCTGGATTCCAGCCTTCCTTCTTCAACTTGCTCAACACTGCTATGAGAAGGATCATGAGCCCCACAACAAATCCCTCTCTAAAAAACTCCTATTGATAGGATTGTGCAAGACAAGAAATAAACTAAGCAAAGTCTCCACAATCCAACAAAGCAGGACAGAAGCAGCTGGTCACTATATCCTGTGGCTGTAGGACACTGGAGCACAATATCTGCATGTAAGGGCATGGTGGCTTATTTTTATTCCTTATGATATGACTAATCCATCTCTTCACACTGTAACATTAGCACTTGTTGGTGTTCCCAGGTCCTTGGAGCTGCAGTGAGTAACTAAACAAGGGACACAAAATGTGGCCAGCGTGGGGCTGTGGAGCACAAGCTAATTCATCTTCCGTCACTCGGTTCTGCTGAGCTTTTGTCATTTATCACTGATGCAGTTTCCATGGAAGCCCCCAGATAAATCAGTGTCTACAATAAATAAAGAGCCCCATCGTTAGATGAGGTAGTGGGTGATGGATGGCAGAGGGTGGAGGGCAGAGCCTTGTCTCCCGGCTGCGTTGGGGGGCCTGCAGATCGGGAAGTCTAATAGATCTCAAAAATGGGTGAGATCTGAATAAATACAACACTTTGTGTTCAGCTGCTTGTGCCAGCAACTGACGCTGCAGGTTAAGGTTTTGTAGACACACAAATCTTCTCCCTTCTCATGGTTTGTTTTAGGGACGCAAATTCTAAGTGTGTTTCAGCAGCAGCATGAACAGCTGCGGGTTCAATCCCACCCACCCGGTTCATGTTGGAAGGGACCTTAAAGCTCCTCCAGTCCCAACCCCTGCCACGGGCAGGGACACCTTCCACTAGAGCAGGTTGCTCCAAGCCCCTGTGTCCAACCTGGCCTTGAACACTGCCAGGGATGGGGCAGCCACAGCTTCTCTGGGCACCCTGTGCCAGCGCCTCAGCACCCTCCCAGGGAAGAGCTTCTGCCCAAGAGCTCATCTCAGTCTCCCCTCTGGCAGGTTAAAGCCATTCCCCTTGGCCTGTCCCTACAGGCCCTTGTAAAAAGTCCCTCTTCAGCTTTCTTGTCAGACCCTTTAGGTACCGGAAGGATTTGCAAGTAAGTGATGAAGCATCTAAAGGCAATATTTACAACACTAGGCAGGTGCTCCCAACTCTCTGTGTGTGAGAAAGCTCCCAGTGGAATCTGTAGGGAACTTGGAGGTTCAGACCATGAGTATTTTCACATTCCTCTAATTGGCAAAGCACTGAGATGGAGCTGGAGTGGTTGAAACCACGGAGAAGAGCCCGAATGTGTTTCTGTCCCCAGTGCCCACAGGAGGGGACGATGGTGGTGCTTAGGCAGACAGTTACGGTAACGGCACACAGGCCACGCAGTTTATCTTCACAGGAGCCCTGGAGCTCCAGAGTGCAGCCAGAGGTTTAAACGAGTGAAAACGCTGTGGCTAATGACGATTATACACCTCCCGGGGGCTTCAAAGGGTTCTGGAAGCCCCAGAAAATGGGCACCTGAAGAATGTGGGGGAATTTCAGCCCCGTTGCAGCTCGGCAAATCAGTATGAAGGATTCTGATCTCTGTAGACAGCACTTTCATGCTTGAGGGGTTGCTATTCTGCCATTCTGGGTATAACTCAAGGGCAGCAGAGAACATAAGAACTCTCACGTGCACTCTTCAGGAAGAACTCAGTTTTGCTCCAGTTTCTGTGAGCAGAAGAGCTCCACCACAGCTGCTCTCCGTGGCCAAAAGGCATTTTCAGTCCCATTGCTGCTGCTGCTGGGCTGGAGGTCCCCAAGGAAGCCTGGAAGCCCCACAGAGCCCAGCACTGTGCAAAGACAACAGCCCTCACACCTTACAGCCCAGGCTGTAAATGTTAACCTGGAAGTTCTGCAGAGAAACTTCTTCGCCCACTGGCTGGTCAAGCAAAGTGCTGAGCAGGACTAGGGAGAGGACAGTCTTCCTCGGATGCCCTGGGGTACTGACCACCACCGAGGGGCAGGAATGATGGGGACAGGCTCGGAACTGAAGCAGCAAGCCTCAAGAGAAGGAGATGGGTTGTTTACCACCAGCTGGTACGCACAAACCAACAGCATCACCCCTACTCATTCTGATTTCAGGGGAAGTAAGTGCTAATTTCTGCAAGCCCAGGAATGAAACCCAACTTTGCTACAGGTGAGAAGCAAGGTGATCGCTCAAAGGCCCTTTTCAAGACAGAGACCTCTCCCCTTACCTATGCAGCTGGGCTGGGTCCCGCTCCACGTCCCATCGGACTGGCAGAACCTCCGGGCTGATCCCACCAGCACGAGCGGGGCAATGCAGGAGAAGGACACAGAAGAGCGATACGTGAAGCCTCTGTCCTCCCTCCTGCCCTGCGCAGGTATCCCCGGATCACCGCAGAACACAGCTGCAACAGGCACAGAGACAAGCAGATTGCCATGAACCTCCTCAAGACCAGGCAATGTTAATAAGCTAAAGATGGGTCTATTGAAGGCCCAAACCTTACCTCTCCCTGCCATCAAGCTCTGTGATTGACTGGGGGATTAGCAGCGGCACAAGGTGTTGCTGGCTACTTTCCTTGTAATTCTCCCTTTTTGTCAATTGCTGTTAATTAACTTCTACCTTCTCCCCCATCTTTTCCTTTCCTTTTTTCCTAACAGCATGCTTAGCTTTAAAATGTATCTCTAATTGCACGATGTCAAATTGCTGTATGGTTCCATGTCACACAGAAAGCCCACTAATTATACAAGATCCAGGGAAAGGTGCAAGGAACACGGTGAGGGCTTTGTATGATTTAATACGAAAATGGCTATTACGCAGCTGCCAGCCATTCAGCCTAGAGAAGGAACTCAAATCTGCCTTCATCATCACAAGACATTTAACTAGTTTTTTTGCATTAGCTATTGTATCAAGCACACAGGTTTCACCCAGCCAGAGCTCTGCCTTCACAAAACATTCCCAACTTCTGCTGCAACAACACAGTGCCTTTTGCCAAAGTTCTTTTTCCTGTGGCCTTTGGCACGTTCAAGAGCTGTGGCTGCAGAAGCCTCAGGCACTGGGGAGATACACGGACAAACAGCCAGTTGTAAAGATGGCTGGTGGAGAGGAACATGCAAGATCTTCAGATACGTTGCAAGCATGACCTCCCATTTGCATTACAAGAGGTGGAGTGACTGACTGTCCCCACAGCCACCACTGCCTCCTTGTTACAGCGATGGCAAACCAAGGCTCTCAGCAACGTGGCTCTTGGAGTTGGGAGCACATTCAGATTTTGGCTGCACTCACTCTAAGCACCATCATGCTTTTCTCCTGGCATGCAGAGCTCCCACTGACTTCAGTTAACGCAAGATTTCCCTTGGGATTAGGGGTAGGAAGCACAGAAAGCAGATATTTAACTTCCCACATACTAATGGTCCATCTGTACCCTCTATGACACTGCCAGGCATGACAGGGTTGACACTAAAATCAGCTACATGGAGACCAGAGATGTCAAAGGAGAGCAAACAACTGGGTTTAATGCACAGTTCTCCACCCAATTCATGCATGAACACGGTGGTGGCTGCCTACTCACGGAAGCACTGAGGGATCTCCCCGCTCCACGTCCCGTTCCCCTCGCAGGTCAGCACGGCGGGCAGGGAGAGCTGATACCCCTCCAGGCAGGCATAGCTCACGCTGGAGCCCCAGCTGAAGTCCGAGCCCACCACTTTCCCGTTGGGAATGGCTTGTGGGGATTTGCAGGTGATAGCTGAATGAAAAACAAAAGCACGTCAGTTCTCTGGACTTCTCAGCATTGTTGTTTCCATTAACAAGCAAATTCCAGTAGGATCAAAGTTACATCCTGCTCTCAGGATGAGAGTGTCACCTGGGATTGGCCTAGCAGGGGCTGAACGAACTTTTCCAGCTGTGTCTGCAGTTGTAAACCCCAGGATTTGACTTTGAAGTCTGGACTTAACCACATCCCAAATCTCCAAGTCAGATTTCTGAGTCAAGTGTTCATTGCAAGGCAAGAATCTACAGTGACTCAGTGCGAAAACTCATCTAAGATTCCCTGAAAGATTCACACGTTTTGGACAACCTGGCTGAGCTTCAGATTAGCAGTTGAATCAACAACCAGTCTGTATTTCATCTGCTCTACGGTGTTCTAAGATGACATTTTTGCAGCACTTTGCATTTCAGCTCAAGGGAGCACTGGGAAAGTTGCTAAGCTCATCCAAATTGGCCTGGCCTCCAAATGAGACTCTGGCCACATTCTGTATTATTCCTGCAACATTAGCTCAGTGGAGAGGATGAAAGAATTGCTCTTTACAGCATCTGGAGCGTATTTGGAAGTTTCTATGTGGTCTGTATTTATATCAGAATCATGACAGCTGAATTTTCCAGACTGCCAAAGTACAGAGATGCTGCTACAAGGCTTATCTACACTTGCTGGGTAAAAAACTCACAGAAAAGATCCGGCCTGTCCTGCCACTGCTCTACCATTTCCATTTCCTACCTCTGAACTACAGAGGCATTGCAGAACTAAGAAATAATGAAAGGAATTGGAAGAAACAATTTTCAGACTTCTGGAGGATGCTACAAAGTGTCTGCTTGCAAAACACAGTATTTCACCTGAGTTTGATCTGAGTTTTTGCACAGAGTAAGTCACTTTGCTCCCCGTGCTTCACTTTCATTTTTCTGCTACAGGGATAACAGCAATTCCTCCCTCTCAGGCACATTGTGATGATTGATAGACATAAAGATAGCAAGGTGTTCATGCTATGTTGATGAAATTGTGCAAGTGCCAGAAACACAGGGGATAGATTGAATGACAAGACCAAGAAACTCCCAGGTGGGCTCCAGGTACACTGCAGTAGCTGCTGCCTATTATCTTGTTCCAAGTTACAAGAAGTTTGTGGCCTGTAAAACTTGTATCCTCCAATATTTAAAACAACCAATCTTACCCTTGCAGGCAGGTTTGGTGCCGTTCCAGGTTCGGTCTTTCGTGCAGGTTAGAGAGGATGCCCTGTCTGACTCCATCATATGCCCAGGCGTGCATTGGAACACCACAGTTTTATTGTAGGTGAAATCACTGCCCAGCCTAATGCCGTTGGCTGGCACACCAGGGTCACCACAGTTGATCACTGCCAAAGAAAAAGAAGCATTTCTGGCTGATCATCCCTTGTCTCACACTTTGGGATCTGCGATAAGTAGAAACCTGACGGTCCTGAGTGTTTCAATGCAGGATGTAACCCACTCGTCACAGAGAAGGAAGCATCTGTGGCACAGAGGACATGGAGAGTGGCACCAGCTATGGAGCAGGCTGGGCTACAGCATAGGGAGAAAACTGCTTCTACTCAGTGGAGCAAACAGTGATGTTAACGGCACACCGAGACCTTGCAAGATGAAGTATTGACACACATGAAACATTAAAGGAAACCTGGGTCAGATCTGGGCCAGGCAGAAGACAGTTTGCCCATGGCACCGCTCTCGCTGCCCTAGTTACTGTCTCTTGTGTAAGACCATGTTTTCCATCATCCACGTTCCTGCTGCAGGCACCTGTGGGTGGGAGCTGTGAGGAAACGCAACACGTTCAGCGGGGCTCTGAGCAGAGGCTCTCCCACACGTGTCCCAGCGCCAGCAGGCAGGAGCGCTCACGTTCGGCAGCAGCCCCGCAGAGCCCCTCCAGGCAGGCTGACATTTACTCATGGAGTTATTACAGAGCTCCCTTCATCCGACTGGAAAATAACAAACCTAAAGCAAGACTTTTCCATTAGGTACTTGCAGAGGCTGCAGCTGAGCAACTGCTGCTCTGTCAGACAGTTTAACCGAGCGCCTCACTCGTGTGTGTGCACAGCTACAGCGAGCACCCAACAGGCCCTGACAAGCCGTCCCCGGAGCCTGGCAGCATCACTCATCTCATCTTCCAGGAATCCATCCCAGCCCTCACCTGTACACTCCGGGCTGGTCCCAGTCCATGTCCCGTTCACCGTGCAGTGCCTGCTCAGCACTCCTGTGGAGTAGTAGCCTTCCCGGCACTGATAGATAATGGAACTGGAGAAGATTAGGCCATCATTAAATATAACCCTGGCGTTGCTAGGGGTTCCCGGGTTCCCGCAGGATATCACTAGAAAGCAAAATGGTGAAGTTGTAAAACACCCCAAAACACAAACGACCCCCAAAGCAAATGACAAGGCTTTCAGCCTGCAATGGACTGTTCTCAATCAAAGTGAGATTAGCTGCAAAGCCCCTGGATCAGCTCAGACAGAACAGGCTATTCCATGGAAAATAAGCTATGTCAGTCCAACAGGATCCCAAACACAACTGGCCAGCCTGGAGCAGGGCTCTGCTTTGGCAGGCAGCATGTCCCAAAGCTCTGTGCAGCATCCTGGCCAGGGGACTGAAAACAGAACTCCATCCCTGCAGCCGGCCAGTCCCTAAGCACCAGCCCTGCTCATCTCCCACATGGATCCTGTAGCTCACCACTAAGCAGCCTGGGAGCGATCTCATCCTGCTCCTCCAGGCTGCAGGAAGAACTTGTGTTCATTTTTCCCAGGGCCTTATCACAGCACTCAATCTCGCATCTGGTCCTACAGCTTCACAAAGCAGGTGGGGGCCAAGCCTGGAGTCCCTCCATCTTCCAGGAGTTTGGAAGCCTGGAGCCCAGTGTGCCACTTTGCCTCTGGCCCCTTCAGGAAGCCAACGGCTTTATGTAATTCAAAGGAATGGAAGCAGGAAGGGAGGCTGGTGCTCTCCACTGTGCACTGCTCACTGCCCAGCTATATCCAATTATGCTTTCAAAGGAGGGAGAATGTTGTGGGAATACAATTACAGGTTTGTCAGCACCCAAGTTTTATGCCTAAAGTACCTCAGCAGCACAGCAATGAAAAGGCACGGGAGTGAATGCTGGTGCACAAAGCCCTGTCATGACAAAATAAGCACCTGCAATAATTGCACCCAGCCCTCATTTACTCTGAAATTACAGGACACAGAAGAAAATCACATGAATCAAGGAAAGGCTTAAACCACAAATTCCAGCTCTTTGACAAGGAAATTCCAATCCCACCCCTCCCAAGCAACATGCCACAACCCGTGTGGGAGCAGCAGTCTGTGCATACACAGGGTGACCCATCCCTGCCCTCCCTGCCGCACACCCTGCAATATTCCCAGCTACGCTCCATGGGGAAATGCAACTTCATGCCACAGCAGGAAAGCAATGAGCAGAGGCCACCAACGCAAGGAGTCTTCTTCTGCCTCGTTGCTTAGTTTGCTGACAGCCTGTTAAGAGAGGAGCTTGTTGGAGGCATATCTGTCTGACAGGAGGAAGCTAATAACCATTCTGGAGTGTGTGCACAGCAGCTCTGCGTGGCTCTACCATCATCCGAGGTACGCTCTTGTTACAGATCTTTCCTGCAGCCAACGTCTCTGTGATACACGGTGTCATTTCCAAGAGATGCTGGGATAAAAGTCAGACTCTATCAACTCAGAAAAAGCTCTAAATTACTATTTCACTGCCTGCCCATTCGTTCCCTCCTGCCCAACCTCCTCTGCTTATGCACGTGGCCAAACACAGGCAGATGACCCGAAAATATGATTTTTGTGACTACAGGAAGACTCATGGGAATGATTTAATCGCACTGTGCATCAGCTGTGACCTGTACAGGCTAGATATAAAAGTGGCCATAAATGTAAGGATGAAAGGTTTGAACTTTTAAAATCATAATTTAAATATAAATAGGATCTAATCATGCAAGTGAGCAGTAAGGGGGTAAATAATTCCCTTCGGCTTCAGTGGGGGATGTAAAATGAAAACTGAACTTAGCTCTGGTTTTTGAACAGGGCATAAATCCTAAAGAGCCTGGAAGTCCCACAGTCGTACCCACTCCCATCTCCTCACGAATCTCAAACCCAATCACACTTAAACTGAAATCAAAATTCAAGAAAATGACGTGCAAATCAGCTGCATCAGATGGGGATTTCTGAGAGCTGCTGCTGCTGCTGCTGCTCTACCAGGGCAGTGCTGCAGGAGTGATGCTCAGCTGAACTGACTGATGTGACAGGGGCGGTTTGACTCTCTGCTGCAGCAGGGAGTGCATGGAGTGCTGAGACTCAGCTCATCCCATCCCTTCAACCAGGGCTTGGATTCTGCCACGTTGCAGAAGACCCAACAGACAAACCCAGGAGACCAGACCCTTCACACCCCAGCCAGCACACACCTCCCCATCCGTGCCAAAGACCCAAGACAGGCTGTGGTGCACCAGCAGAGACCTCTGCCAGGCTATGGTGCACCACCAGGCACTCCTACAATGCCAAACCCCACTGAGCTATTTCAGACATCCCTGGGACTTAAGAGATTGCTATAGAACTCCCCACCGAGGACAGCCAGAGCTGCTCCCTGTGATCCTGACGTTGCTGGGGGGAAGCTGGGAAGCTACAAAGTGGTCTCTGCTATATAAAACATCACAAGGCTCAGAGGTGCTCCAGAGCTCAGCAATAATTCATTTCATTCCAGTCCACACAGCCTTTTTCCTGAAAAAGCTCATTAAGATTCGCCCCTCGCCTTCCTTTGCTTTTTTCCTACATGTTTTACAGTGAGAAGCAGCTGGGAGCAGGGAATTTCTCTGGGCCCTGTTCAGCTCAGAGCCAGTGATGCTCAGGGTGTGGTCAGATGAGGCCACTGAGCTCCCCCAAGAGGTACCCCCATTATCCACAGCAGCATCGTCCAGAGCAGGGCAAGGGGCAAGTGCTGTTACCCACTCTACACTTCCAGTTCCCCCAGCCCTGCCCAGCAAAATCCTCCCTGAACACCATGTGAGGGGCTTGTTTCAGGGCTTTTTTCACCCCCCGCCAAGAGAAGGCACATTTCTGCCAGGAGCAGCAAGCCCTGCTCCTCAGAAACTGCAGCAAGAACAGCTGAGGGTTCATGACTGCTATCAGTGCACGTCTGACTACGCTCGAGGTGCTGTGTGATACAGTGTCCTCCGCATGCTCCCCTCCTCTGACCTGATCTTTATTACCAGTGGTACTTCTCTGGGGCTCTGCTGCCATCCAAAACACTCTCCTAATGATGTCTGACACATCAGGCACCACCTCCTGCTGGACTAAGACACAGCTGAGAGCCTTCGGAGTTTCAAAGCCTTTGCTTCAGGGCTGGTAATTTCCATGCTGTTTAATTTAACCAGTAACTCGTAACCCATCTAACTATGCAGACAGAGAAAGCAAAAAGCAGCGTAGACCCAAATCCCAGCCTTGCCACCTCCCATGTCCTCAGCAGTCAAATGGGAGTGAGACAAAACTCAGTTTCTTTTCCCAGTGTTGTCACTTAAAATAAGCTGAAGCTGCCAAAGAGCAGCCAGAGCCCCATCTCATTTTGGATGCAGTTTTAGTTCACTTGGAGAAACAATAAAGGTGATAAAAGCAAATATTCTGCTCAAGTTCTAAGAGAAAGGAGCACACAGCAGAGTACAACTGATGAGCCCCACTCCTACGCTGCTCCTCAGTGAACACAGATGGGCATCGGGAAGAAGAAAGAAGGAAAAAAGCATCTAAAATTTCATTTACACTTTAAAAACTTGCTGGAAATTAAAACAAATGAGGCCTGAAACCTGTGATTTTGGAAAGCCAGGGAAGGTCTCTTACTGGGGACAACAAAACCAGAGCTATAAACCAGACTGGAGCAGGAGTCCCAGAAGGAATCCCTGCAATTAATTTACTTCCAAACCTTTTATGTTTTGGAAAAATCAGTTGTGACTTCTTCCTGCTTGCCTATCCCTTTGGTTTTCTTCACTAATGTTCTAGAGGGTAAAAGGCACTGGGCTAAGCGCCCATGAGTGTCAAGGTGACCCTCCAACAAGCCTGGTGTTCCCACATGCACGATCAGAGCTGGACTGGTCCTGGTGCAAGAAGAGACAGTCAAACATCAGACCCTTGACTTAGAAGTCAAGCAGATGCTTTGTAGTTGAAGCTCTCAGAGCAGCGTGCTCGCTCTGCAGTGGGGAGAGCAGCTCCTCTCTCCCGCCCTTCTGATCATGCTGTGGGATTTGCACCATGTCCTCTGTACGCCCGTGCTCCTCAGCAGTGGGTCTGCACGGGGGCTGAGCCCACTGAGCCCCTTTGTGCTCATCCAGCAGCTAATCTGCAGAGCAATTTACACTGAATCCCCCGGGCAGGCGAGTGCCAGTGACCTGTGAAGCCCCATCAGGCTTGATTTGCCTCAATTTTGGTGGCTGACAGCAGCAAACAAGTGGCTGAGTCACAGACCTAATGCAACACGGAGGTGCTGAGTGGCTCCAGGGCTGTGCTGGAGCTTTTCCGTGCCATTCCTTCCAAGCACCTGACTGGGCACTCCACCTTCATCTCCAACTGCCCTGAATTCAATCCCAAAATTAATCTTTCCTCTCCCACAGATACCTGCTCCAGAGTGTTGAATATAACCAAGTGCAGCAGAACACCACCTTGGAGTGCTTGCCACTCGCTGTGAATACAAATGAGAGGCCCAGCACACAGTTTATCACTGTGAATTACTTTCCTATATTGGCCAGTCAGCACTTAACATTAAACGACTACATTATAGGTATAATGTTATTATTATGCATAAAGCATGAAAAAAATCTGCCAGAGATCTGTATTTTGGTGCCTCTGGAAACCTGATGGGCTATTTCTCCTGAGATTAATGAACGGAGCCTCTCCACTGAAAGAACAAGAGAACGGAAAAATCCAAGACCCGAGTGTATTAATAACATGATTTAGTGCCTTTTCAATCAAGAGTTCCATCAATTTGGAATGTATTTCCAGTTCGTTTATAAACTCTGAGCTTTTAGCTTTTCAGACAGCTGGAGAGAAGCACTTGCCCAGGTCTCCTTGCTCCGGGTATCCCGCCGCATTTCAGCTTTTCTTCTTTCCCCAGTTGATTTTTAAATGCTTTTCTGTAACAGTAGCAGTAAGCAGCAGAGCTCAGAGAATCCGGATGGGGGTTTATTAGACTGCATTACAGGGTCTTACCTGATTCCTTCAAATGGAAAAATAAGGGGTTTGGGGCTTTCAAATACTAAAATATGCTTACTGGATTATAATTTGCATTTTGCATTTCTGCTTAATGTAAATGACTCTTGCATGTGCCAGTTCCAGCTCTAATGGAGGTTTGAAGCTATTGACATTTCTCAATCTGCTGTATTTCCTCAATAAAGTGACTCTGAATTAGTCAGTGATACCCATGGGCTTTAGACCAAACCGGGGCATTTCTGACCATCTAGCTAGATACACGATGTAGACCAAGAGATGCGATTCCTGCAGCGAGCCCCTGGACTTGGGGATGACTGGATGTGAGGACGAGACCTCAACAGCTCTTCCTACTCTCCACCTCAGTCCAGATTGTTGGCACAAACCTGAATGACCTGAAACCCTTGCAAAAAGGTGACACATCCTCTAGCACTGAAAAATCCTCTTGTGTGATATGATCTGCAAACGTTTGGAAGTGGAACTTTGAGGCTCCTTGACATACAAGAAGTATTTGGAGGACACGATGAACACAGCATTATTTCTTGCTGCACCAGACTGTCTCTGACAACTAAACCAGAGTTTAGTTGCCATAATTCTGCTGTAAGTCTGGGGACAGGCAGTGATGAAGGAAGAGGATGTGGGGTTGGAGAAGTACCTTCACATTCCGGCTGCGTGCCGCTCCAGGAGCCGTTGGCTTGGCACGTCCTCTCGGAGGAACCCCGGAGCATGTAGCCGGGCTCACAGCTGAACCGGACCATGCTGCCCACATCAAAGTAATCTCCCAGCCCAATGCCATGAGAGGGGATCCCCGGGTCACCACACAAGCCCTGGCTGCCTCCTGTGAAGAAGAGAGCATAGTATCAGCAGATTAAGCAAGTCATGGGGCTTGCCTCTTTTTCCCTCTCAACTGCATGTGCTCACGGGGCCAGCACAGAGGTTTGGATTGTGACAGACTTATCTCTGCCCACATCTCAGCAGAGTGGGAAATTCCAGATGAAACAGCCCCTGACTCCAGGAGCCCACTGGTTTTATGCTGGTTGCAGAACACGGCCATAACTCTTGCATCTCAAGATGGAGCCCTCACCAGCTTTGTGCAGCAGCTGCTTCAGCAGACAGCAGCTCTGCTGCCAGCATCACTCATGTGGATGGTTTCCCTCCAAGCAGGAATTACGACATGTTCCCAGCCACCTCAGCACGCCCTATTGTATCTGCAGAACAAGAAGCTGTTGGGTTTGGACACAGAGGCAGGAGGGATCCAGCTGAGAAACATCCGCTCATACAAGTTGTGAACACTCGGAGCTGCTGGATGGGAGCGAGGGGACAGGAGGGAGGCAGCAGATGCCTCGCAGGGGTTCTCTGGAGCAGGCTGGAGAAATGCCACCTCCCTACGGCCTGACACAGGCTCACACCATGTAGGCCTGTTCTTGGCTGTCTTTGCTAATGATCTGTGTAAACACATCCACCCCCAAGCCAGGAAAGACTATTTCACTCCTGCAGCTAGTAATGAAGTTCCTGGTTCCTGGACCTTCTGTGCCTTGCTGCAGGTAAGCCTTTGCAGTGCTACGTGTCATATAAAACATAATGAGCATATTCATCATCTAGGGAATGCACTTGTTTGTAAAGAGAAGGGGGAGAACACTCCAGGTTCAGCATTTCCTTTCATATAATGACTTACATCAAAGTGTTTTGTTTCATCTTGCAAAAGCTACTGTCACACCATGGGATCTTCCGCAGACAATGGAGAACCTTTGGCAGTAGATGAGCAGAGCTGTATTCTGCCTCTTCACTGCTTTTGTAACTGTATTGCCTGAGTTTGGTGTAAAAGAGGAGCCTTTTCCCAAGCCCTTGGGTGGAAATAGAGGTTCTGAGCATTCACCTGGCCCCAAGTCAGAGAGGGGCTGTCAAATGCCATTAGTCTTGGTCTATAGCTGCCTCCATGAAGTCATTCAGAAAAATCCCACACAACACATGTCAGTAGGAACTAGTCAGAGTAACACTGAACGTTTCCAAAAATCCACCCACAAATATGACAGGAGAGACAGTGAAAACCACATGGGGGAAAGCACGAAGTAGAGCAGAAAACCCTTCCAAGCAGCTACAGATCAAGAAGCCTGCAGATACAGCTTCCAAATGTGAGGCTGACTGCTTGATTCCCTTCTTCCTTCCGAAGCAGAGGTTAAACTTGGTCAAGTGGAGCTGCCAAATCTAAGTGGCATAATTAAAAATTAACACTTGTCCCAAATGCTTTGCTCCAGCAGAGTTCTTTCATCCGCCTCTGTGCTCTCCAGGGAACAAGCGATGGGATGACACAAGGAGGGCTCTGCACAGCATCCTGCCAGTCACGCTGCACCCCTCCTTCTACTGGAGACCATCAGTTGAGATCCCAGCACCCCAGTTTCAGGAAGGCTTAGCAAGAACATCTCATTGCATCCCACATGACTTCAACCCAACTCCATCCCTCGGGGACTTTCCTGCTTCTCAGGATGTTTTCAGTGCAAGACCATTGTCGCTCTGGCATGGGAGTGGGGATGACCTCTGTTGCCATACTGCTCTTAGTGGAGATGCTGATAATGTGGAAGCTCTTTGTACCAGCTTCCATTTGCCTTGTGCAGACCTGGGACTGCTGTGGTGCCGTAACAGCAGATGTCAGACCCTGGAAAGGGGCTACGTTCTTTTATTGGAATGCATGAGAAAGGTGGTCAGATGCTGCAGATACGATGCAAGGACCAAATTTTTGCAGAAGATACATCCATCCTTTACAGACTCTGCATGGAAAAAGCTGTAAAGCAGCAGGCTGCAGTACACCTCCCACCACAACCATGTGCTGCAGTGATTTATTTCTCATCTTGCAAGCTGAGTGGTTTACTCTCTGCCAGTGCTTATCACCCAACCTGCAGGAGACTGGGGAGCTGAGACATGAGGATTTTCAGACTCTTCCACAATCTCCCTCTGTAGCGTGTGTTATTTCTCCAGCTCAGCTAAAGCACATCAGGCTGCCCCTCACAGGACAAAACTGGGTGGTGGAGCACAGGAACACCCCGTCCCGTGCTTCCCAAAGGCCACCTCACCTGAGCAGTGCGGCAGGGACCCGCTCCAGCGCCCGTCCAGCTGGCACATGCGAGTGGAGTTGCCGACCAGGGTCCGCTTCCCGAGGCAGCTGTACCGCACCACCGAGCCCACCGTGTGCTTGTCACCGGAGAGTTGAGCGTGCGGTGGGGAGCCCGGGTGGCCACAGGACACCACTGGAAGAGACAGATGTGACAGCTTCAACCACGAGGAACTGCCTGTGACGCAGCAGGTACGAGCAAGGTACTGCACGTTTGAGGGTGCTGCGTGGATCTTGGCAGCTTAAACCCACTTGTGTGCCCCAGTGCCCACCGAACACCCAGTGGCTCATGCCTAGTGCAGCTGTGGCACACCAAGACCTTGCACCAGCCTCCTTCTGGAGACATGAGCTCATCCTGTCCGAGCTGACAAGGCTCTGGGCATCGATGTCCAGTCTTGACACTGACAGGCATTTTGCAGGCTCCTTCTTAAACATGAGTATTTCCAAGCACACCCCCAGCCAGCCCTGGCAGCAGCAGGTCCTGCAGCACAGAGCTGCAATCGATGCCGTGTCATACCTGAGCAAATGACCTTGGCAGACTCTGAGCACTGCTCACTCAACCACTGCCAGTGAAATACCACCACTAACAGTAATTAATAGGTTTACTTTAGCTCAGGGATCGGAGTGGAGACAGGGAGAGGCTGTTGACAAATACACTGACAGATCTAGGGGCCGTGAGACAGGTTTGGATGAGGATGCTCAGTGTAAAGACCATGCACCACTTGTTTTCTGAAGGAAAGCATCCGTAATGGATATCTTTTCTCCCTCTGCTACAATCTAAAAATACTAGTGCTGGCATTAGGTAGAAAACATGATGTATGCTTCAATAAAAGGGAGAGCATGCCTATGTTTGGGCACGGGGGCGTTGAAATACACTGGCGCAGAGCTGTGACTAAAACCAAGGGCGCTTTGCAAGGAAATGGGTTTGATAGCTAATATTTAAACTCACACTGTAACTAACAATTTAATAACAGATACTCCAGCAGAGTCAGCTAAGCTTAAACCTGTGGTGATCTGAGGGTTTTTAAAGGCTTTATGCACACAGGGGGAAGACTGCTCCTTCCAATGCGTTCAGCTCTGCTCGCATGTCCTTACTGGACTCGCTCTCCCACTCCTCAGAGGGGAACAGCTCTGGTTTACTCCCTCCTCAGCAACAGGCATGAGCCAACATTTGCAACCTCAGCTTGTCTGGCACCAGCCTTCTTAATTTCTGCTTTAGGGACTGCCTAGAAATTTTAGGCGCCCAGCTCTACGCACTTTAAGGGGATATGGGATTCAGCACTGAGCACATCTGCAGTTCAACACAGAAAACAGACATGCAAAAATCTCTTTTTTCCTCCAAATTATTAAGCCCATGAATCCACATCATCACTTGTAAAACTGACCTGAGCTTCCAAAGCTTTGAGAATGCCCACAAATCCTCCAAGTCAATGGATGCTCAGCATTTTAAGGAGAGAGATCCCTTTTACTTAGCTGGAAAGCTGTGGACTAAGGGAGCCTGAGACCTCAGGCCCCCAGGTTTTAGAGGATAACTACCCCCAGGAGCCCTGCAGCTGCGGTAACACACTGTTATCACTTGTCAATTCCCCATGGCCTGTGCAGGGTGCTGTGGATGTGAGAAGGTGGCATGCTGCTAACAAAAGGAAAGGAAAATGTGCCAAAAGCTACCGTGTACGACTAAGTGTCAAAGGGTAATACCAGAGAAAACAGAAACAGTCATGGCTTTGGAACAGCTAAGCTGGTTTGAACTGAAGGAGCTCCATTTCTGATTGCTTTAGTGATTTGATATGCCAGGTAAGGAGATCAGAGCTGCTTTGCTCGCCAGAAGGACACAGGAGCTGTGCTGGTGGCTGCTCTGCCACTAGAGCACTGGGCAGCCCCACCTCAACTCTAAATACACTTTGGACTTCACTTTCTCCCAGTGTAAGACAGGGACATGGCCACTGACATCCTTCATACAACGCCTGCACTAGGTATTACCACCACAAGTATTTCGTGTCTTTCTGTCCTAATGGAACTACCCCTTATGCCAAACCATCACCTAGAACCTCCCAATTCTCTGCAAACCCCAATGGCAGAAAGGGCCAGGATACTGTAAGAAACGGGGAAAAATGTAGAGCAAGGGCCAGGAAGCAAATCCTCTTCAGTACCTCATTGCAGCAGCACAAAGCTGCATTTACTTCACTGTCACACTGCCATTTCCCTCTCCCAAGGCCGTGGGGATGGTGGGTGTATAGGAACTCAGCCATGCCCTGTCCTCAGATGGGGTAATAGCATTCAGCTCCCAATGAAGAAGTGCTGCAGAAGTTCTGCTGCCCCTCTCCCCCCACAATACTGTCAGTGGAGCTGATCAGAACCAGTAGAACTCAGTGGGAGCTGCCTTCCCCCCCAGAGAGGAAACCATCTCTAACAGCATTTCTGCCCTCAGACCACATATTCTCCTTCTGTGGGCAGGATCCACAGGCCATTGGTGCTGACGGAAGGATTCCCATGGATTACAATGGGCTTTGGATCCGGACTTTTCGCAGAGCCATCCAGCTAAGCAACAGAGAACTACAGGGGATGAAAAGCTGTGGTGGATGGGAATTATTCTGAAGAACTTACAAAGACACTGTGGGAGGGCACGGTCCCAAGTGCCATCCCCCTGACAGGTAAGGACATGTGTACCCAATAAGTAATATCCATGGCTGCACTGATATGAGACAGTTGTTCCAAAGCTGAATCTGTGAGGACCACTCGGCTGCACTTGCCGGATGCTGTTTTCCAGGTGCCCGGGGTCAGTACAGTTTATGACTGCAAACAAACAACAAAAGAAATACAAAACAAAGGGTGTAACAAAGAATTCTCCAAAAATGAGCAGGAAAAGGGGGCAAAACTGCAAAGCACATTCCACAAGTGAAGAGGTTTTACTCAGTCTTTTTTTTTTTTTTAAAGATTCTTTACTTCAGGGTAGAAATAGAAAATTCCTTATTAAAAGGAAAAAAGAGAGCAAAGGCAACCTGCAGGCTCAGCAGCAGAGCCCTGCTCTCTGGCCCCAAACTGGGACTCACACTTGCAAGTTAGGAATAACTGATTTCTTGACGGACACAGCACAGTATCGAGAGATACTGGATTGCAGTACAGAGGGAGGGAGTGCAGGGAGGGAATCTGGCAAGTGAACAGGAGTGCTAACACCAATGGAAGGAGAAGAGCAGCCCAGAAGAAAGGGCTCTGCACAAAGAGCATGGTGTTTGCTTTGAGTGAACTGGTGAAGGGTTACTACTGTGACCTCTGCTAAGGGTCTGGCCTGATAGTCTTGTGTCCTCCCCGCTGACAACACTCACTTCAGCGCCTTGGAGGATGAAATTCTTTACCATGAGGGTAGTGAGGCAGCGATACACATCGCCCAGAGAAGCTGTGGCTGCCCCATCCCTGGCAGTGTTCAAGGCCCGCTTGGACACAGGGGCTTGGAGCAACCTGCTCTAGTGGAAGGTGTCCCTGCCCGGGGCAGGGGGTTGGAACTGGATGAGCTTTAAGGTCCCTTCCAAGCCAAACCAGTCTGGGATTCTATGTAGGGCTGGGCAGGGTCCAGTAACAGCTCTGAGCGAAGCCCATGGGATAATCATGCTTGTTGAGTAAGATTTACACAGGCCACGGAGCTCGAACATCATTTGTACATTCCTGAGGAACCAGGACATTTGCTTTACGTGAATTTACCACAGTGTGAAGCAAGACTTTAGAAACCCAGAGTAACCAACACAGAGCACTGTGCCCCGGTAGCTCACCACGACAGGCAGGCAGGCTGCTGCTCCACTGTCCATTGGCCAAGCACTGGGACTGAGATGCTCCTTCCAGGCGGTACCCAATGTTGCAAACAAATTTGGCCACATCATTCAGGTTGAACTGGTTCCCTTGGGTCAAGCCATTGGCAGGGTTGCCAGGGTGGCCACAAGTGATGGCTACAATTAGAAATCAGAGATAGTATGTTTTTTGTCTGGATTATCTATTGGAAAAAAATTCCCATGAAAGGAGACCACAACCTCCCCCCGCATCAACCCTGAAACTCACACCAGCCAAAGATTTGTGGCCAGCTCTGTTGGAACAGTGAATCAAGTTGAGAGCACGGTACCTTTGTTCACTTTACTGGCATAAGAAATTCCCTGAACCACTCTAAGCAGCTGAGTGCCAGCATCCTACTGACTTAGACTGTAAATCCCTAGAGCTCCTCTTCGAAAATCCCAGCTACTGCTATTAATCTAGTGCCTTACACTACCCTGGGCATCACACACAGAGTGATGAAACCTGATGTCTTCCACCCTCTCCCTAGCATAAGTCAGATGTATGCTCACGACAGTAAAAGTAACACCTGGAGGAATAGCTGAGAGAGAAGAAAAACATGAGAAAAATCAGGTTTCTAGCAGATGGCCTAAAAAGCTTCAATCTTCCTGCTTTAAGTTTGAAAAACTTTGGGGAAAACCCTTTATTTCTAAATCCCTGAAATAAGGGTTTTGTGTAGTTCTTGTTCCTGTGGTTGATGTGAGTGTGGGCCAGTGACAAGGTAAAGGGCGAAAGGGAATTGGTCTGAGCTGCTCGGAATTCACTCAGGGAAGGCGCAGAGGCAAAGGCTGGAGCAGCAGGAAGCATGGGCAATAGGGAAATTCAAAGTGATCTGGCCTGGGCTGCTCTGCTGGCACCTGGGAAGGATGGGTGATGCAGGGAGGATGCAGTCCCTGCCACGAGCGAAGCCCAGAGACCTTTGCAGTGAGCTCCACTGCACAAAAGAAAAGTCAGGATACGCCACACAGAGATTCTTGGCTGCTTAAGGAACACGACATCTTCTGACAGCTGAGGACAAAGCAATATTGATTATTGCCATGCTGAAATGGGGTAATGGTCCAGCAGTGGGAGTCCAGCAGTTCAGCTGCACAGCTGCCAAAGCCAGGAGCTACAGGGAAGGATGCAATTCCCACAAAAGATCCATAACATATTTGACTGGCAGGGCTGGACTGTACCACAGGGACGGGAATTTATTCCTCATGCAAGCTAGTGACAGGTACAGGTCTGAAACATATAAAGCACTTTCGCCTTTCAGTGCTGCAGGAAGCAGATGTGAGATGCTTTGAGGTGCTTCTGAACACAATTATACATGTTTTGAAATGGGTGATGGATTCTGTCCCAGAAAAAAAGGCTCCCCACAGTTGGTGTGGATCAGAAAGTCCCATTCACACAGAGGAAGCAACTGTAGCAGGCTTAAAGAGAAAATAGCAGGACAATAGGAAATGATAATGTGCTAACACACAGTGCCCTGAGCTGCTTCAGAAGCAATAAAGCCTCCAGGCATCTAATTTCAGAGCCCAACAGTGCTCTGCTTTAACAACATGAAATTTATGTTATCCGTAAGGCCTAACGTAGCGCGCAATAACGTCAAGGCCAACTTCTGCACATGAGACACCTTTACAGATCTCTGCACAAAAGCTTGGTGGGCTTCAGATACCTGAGTCAGAAGCCAGTACAAAGCAGAGCCAAGCAAAGGGACCTGTTCTGGTTCAGTTGTCAGAAGACAGATACAGATGAGCAACATTCATTGCCTTTGTTCTAATGGGTTTGGTCTCTCCCAAAAGAAACAAGATGAGCCATGAAAATGGATGTTTAGAAGATCCTGCATTTCCATCAATCTGCCTGGCAGCAGGAGGGCCTCTACCAATATGATTTCCTGATCCAAGGTTAGCATGTATATAGGCAGGAAAAAGTGAATTAATTGCTTTTCAAGAGAGCATCCTCAGACACGAGAGTAAATTCAGACCTCCCAAGGGACCCAGAGACAGCCTTTCCAATAATTCTTTTCCTAAAAAGCTCATCCAGACTCACACACATCCTCCAAGTTGTGGAGTCCCTGCTAACCTTGACGAGCTAAGTCTGTGTGTTATTTTTAGGCTGGAATCTGTGTATTCATTGATCGGTCATTCTGTACTTCATATCCTGCTGTTATTATTGTGCCTCAGCACATAAAGCTCTAAACCAGACAGGAGAGATTGGAAGCAAACAGCTGGAGAATCATGATATGAAATACATGGATTGTACTGTCCAGTGATAGGAAGATGCTTAAACTTATTAACACCTTAGTGCTCCAGAGACTGACTTCATTAACTTATTTAGTGGAAGGAAAATAAGCAGGTTGTACAAGGTGACTTGTGATCAGAGGAGGAGAGAGACAGACTTTCCTCCAGCACAGAGCATGGCTCTCAAAGACAGTGACGCTGAGGAGTGCTTGGTGGGGCTATGTGTGCCTTTAACCCCCCTCACCCTAGTAAAGGGTGGTCTCCTCAGAAACCAGACCTTCCACTGGGCTCAGCTGCCCAGAGAAGCTGTGGCTGCCCCATCCCTGGCAGTGTTCAAGGCCAGCTTGGACACGGGGACTTGGAGCAACCTGCTCTAGTGGAGGTGTCCGAACAGGATGAGCTTTAAGGTCCCTTCCAACCTAAACCATTTCATGGTGGAAAACATGGAAGAAAAGTGGAATTTAAAAAGCAGAGGAAAAAAGTAAAGCAGCCAAAATTGCAGCATTGCCACTCCTGCCACTCCTCAGCCCTCTCCTGCGGGAACACCAGGGGCTCTTGTGCAGCACGCTCACTGCGTGTGTGCGAAGCAACTGCACAGCCTGGCTGTGCAAACCCCCACCAACATCTGTGCGTGTGCTCTTGTCCTCTGGCCGCCCCCCAGGGCTAAAGAAACGTGACAACATACTTACGCACACAGACAGGCGTCTTCCCGGACCAGCGGTGGTCCTGCTGGCAGATCCGCACCGACATGCCGATGAGGCGGAAGCCGGGGCTGCACTGATAGACCACGCTGCCGCGGTAGTTGTAGTTCTCCCCATTGATCTGCCCGTTGACAATGGGACTGGGGACACCACAGTGCCCCGCTGCAGAGACAGAGAGGAGAGTCACCCAGAGCTCGCTCCTGAAGGCATCGCACCGCCCTAAGTCTGAATTCCAGACTCTGCACTCGTAAACGAAACCAGAGCAGCAGTAGAAACCACAAAGCATTCTTAAAGCTCTCCAATCTCAAAACACCTCACATCTACTGAGCATTTAAGGACTCAGTCTGCTTCCTTTTTACATCTACTTTGGGGTTGTTTAGTCTGGAGAAGAGACAGCTCACGGGGGGACCTTATCACTCTCTACAACTACCTGTCAGGAGCCTGTAGTGAGATGGGGATTGGTCCCAAGTAACAAGCAATAGGACAAGAGGTAACGGCCTCAAGCTGCGCCACGGGAGGTTTAGACTGGAGATTAAGAACAATTTCTTCACCAAGAGGATGAACAGGCTGTCCAGGGCAGTGCTGGAGTCATTTCCCTTGAACTGTTCAAAACCATGTTGACATGGTTTAGTGGTGGCCTTGGCAGTGCTGGGGAACAGTTGGACTTGATGATCTTGAATGTCTTTCCAACCTGCTTGATCCTATGATTCTCCAGCTTCAGAAGCACCAAGTCCTCACTTGGCTTCCTTCTTGAATCGGTGTTTAAAATTCCTATTCCCTCTCGAAACACAGCCAAGACCCTTTCCAACCAACCACCCCAGATACTCCGCACGTACCCAGACATCTCACTTCTGCTCCACTCCAGAGCCCGTTGGCCATGCACTCCCGCACACGGGAGCCCACCAGGGTGTAGCCAGTGTTGCAGGAGAAGATGGCTGTGGCCCCGTAGCTGGTCAGTGTGCCAATCTTGTTCCCGTTCGGTGGGGTGGGCAGGTCTCCACAGGAGATAACTAGAAGAGATCCAAAGCACAGGAAGTGAGGACAGGCAGGGAGCTGTGGTTTGTATAGAGCAATGCACTCAGTGACACCGCCACAATCATTATCGAAGTCAGAAAGGAGTAGGAAAGCTGATGGAATAGTTACATGGATAATAAACCCAGAAGGTTTTCCCACAGGAAGTTTTTAACACAGGAATATTTCTGTTACTAACCCACTGCTGGATACAGCCAGGAGCCCGACTTCCAGAAAAGCTACAAAATGGCATCAGATCTCCAATCAAAAATGGGCATAGCAGCAGTGGGCAGCCAGCTTTGTGCCACACCATGACTTGCAGGACAGAGACCGGACCCACACAGGACACCCCTGGTTTGTGGGGTGCAGCTGGAGCCCGGCCAGGCACACCTGCACATGCAGCTCCCAGCCACGAACTTCAGCTCCTTTATCTGCCTTCAGGATCTGCAAACCCTCCAGAGCTTTTGCACTCAGCAAGAAATCAAGAGGCTCACGCTGGGTGCTTCTGACCTCAGCGCATTGCCAAAATCCTGTCACTTGAATTTAGGTGGCAATAATGCTGAAGAAATACAACGAGGTCAGGCTCATGCTCCCGGAGCTGGCTGAAGAGCTTAGCAGGGGTAAAACTACATCTGTCACTGAAGTCGGCACTTGCATCTCTAGAAACAAAGGGAGGCAGGAGGGAAGGGAAAGCTGCCATTCTGAAAGAGAACCTTTCTGTCTCTGCCTGCATTAGAGAGGAAAAAACCTCCACCTTTGACAAGAGATCCAAAGCACAGCGGTCATGGCAGAAGAACTGAGCGCGCTGCTTGTTTGCCAAGAGTGCGTTTGATTTACAGGTGACACTGTTACCCTGTAAACTTGGTGTTTGCATAAAACTGCAAGAGGTTAGGTTTTAAATCAGAGCTTTTCATTTTCTTTCTCAAAAACAAACTTCAGAGCATCTGGCAGCAGTGACAGTTAAACTGCTGGGACCCAACAGCAACATAGGAACTGGTGTGCTGGAGCTCTTGCAGAACTGTTCATCACAGAGTCCCAGCCTCGTTTGTGTGGAAGGGACCTTAAAGCTCACCCAGTCCCAATCCCCTGCCCCGGGCAGGGACACCTTCCACTAGAGCAGGTTGCTCCAAGCCCCTGTGTCCAACCTGCCCTTGAACACTGCCAGGGATGGGGCAGCCACAGCTTCTCTGGGCACCCTGTGCCAGCGCCTCAGCACCCTCACAGGGAAGAGCTTCTGCCCAAGAGCTCATCTCAATCTCCCCTCTGGCAGGTTAAAGCCATTCCCCTTGGCCTGTCACTACCTGCCCTTTTAAAAAGCTCCTCTGTAGATTTCTTGTCAGCCCCTTCAGGCACTGGAAGCTGCTCTAAGGCCTCCCTGGAGCTTTCCCTTCTCCAGGCTGAACAAGCTCAACTCTGGTTTAGATTCTTGGTTCAAGAACTCCCTGCATGCAAACTCTCTTCTACCAGTGCAGCTCTGCAGCTATGCCCTCAGGTGCTGCCGAGAGGGGCCAGGGCTGGGGTGTGTTTGCAGGCCAACAGCAGAGCTCGCACACCCGCTGGATGGTGAGCAGAAACCCCATCCCCTGCAAGGCACCATGTGGAGGTGGCCTGCTCCAGTGCAGCTCCTGAGCGTCACGGCTCTTACTTTTGCAGGTTGGCATCGGTTCTCCTATGCTCCACTTGCCGTTGGCTTGGCACCTGATGACCCGCTGGCCCGTGTAGTAGTACCCAGGGTCACAGATGAGCATTAGCTGGGCGTTGTAGTGGTACTGGATCTCGTAGGTGAGCCGCCACCGACCGTGCTCAACTGCAATGCTGTTGATATCGGGACAGGTGACAGCTAAAACCAGATGTGGTGAGCCAGGGAAAAGAAACGAGACAGAAAGAGGTTAAAAGGTGTTTGACTCCAGGGACTTTGGGGCAGGTCAACAAGGGTGCTGGCTTTTTAACTAGGGGGCCACCATTAGCATGTCCATTACAGGTGGGAAACCAAGACACCATGACAGGGGACATCAGACATAAGTTATGCAGGATTAGAAAGCTGGTACAACCACAAGGCAAAGCTGTCATGGGGAGCTGGAAGGTGTTAACCAAGGGATCTCCAAAGCTCCCTGCGGGACTGCAGCGCTGCCAACACTCACCTACACACTGAGGGGGCTGGTTGCTGTTACTCCACTGCCCCTCCTGCAGGCACTCGGCGCTGGACTCCTGCCCGGGCTGCAGCTGGAAGCCCTGGTTGCACTGGTACACAGCCTTGGTACCCACGGTGTACTCCTTGCCAAAAACAACGCCATTCATCGGGGCTCTGGGAACTCCACAGGAGAGAGCTGGGAAGGAGGAGAGGGGAAAAAACCACTGCTGAGAAATCAGTCAGCTTCCAGTTTTACCATGGATCTGTGAAGCCCAGATCCCAAACTGTGAAGCTCCAGCCCCTGGTGAACCCCAGAAGCTGCAGTGAATGCTCATTTCCACAGAGGACTAGATTTCCAACTCCCAACAGTGAGTATCAGGTTTTACTGGAAGAGACCCTGGCTCGTCCTTTCTATAACATCTGTAGCACAAAATGCACCAACACAGCGTTCCGAAGTTTTCACACAGAGATAAAGGATTAGACAGCAGTAACATTTTGTATTTACACCCCACAGCAACACCACCTGAAACCCCTTGCCAGCAGCACTTTCGGATTACATAAGGCAGCAAATTGTGTAATTACATTGTGGCAGAAGGAAAGCTAAATTTAGCCTTGGGCTGAGCAGGTAAGGGGGGAATTGAGGGGAAGCGATCGATAAGCAGGCAGGACGCCAGCGGCTGCTCAAGACACTCAAGACGGCAGCACGTCGGAGAAGCTGCTCTGCACCACTGCTGCTGAAAGGCTCAGGTCTGCGGCCCGGAGAGGGTCAAAGTGGGCAGAGTGGGAACAGGCAGGGCACAGAAAGATCAGCAACAGCCAGATACAGACAGATGAGGAGCACGTTCATCTCTGCTGCAAGAGTTTCGCAAGATGTGACATGTCCTTTTACCCTCTTCTCCACCTCTGGGAACACCAGCTCTGGGAGCCTGTCACTCAAATCTGGGTTTCTCTACCAGCATTCAGAAGAGCTGGGAAACCAAGCCCATGCCTGCCTCCAACAGCACCATGCGGGCTCCCATCCCTCTTGTGTCTTGGGCTGGAGAGACAGGGAGTGGCAAAGGGGAAGGAGCAGCGTGGACCTATGAAGCTGCCGCTGTGATGCTGCCAGCCTGGGGGCTGCCAACAGCCTCTGTGGAGCACCGAGATGAGCAAAGCACCGATTTGGAGGCCAGCACCTAACCCAAATGGCTGTCTGCATTTTAAAACTGCTCTGAAGGAATTCCATTCCTTCCTGGAGAAGCTCCCGCTGTTCCCACTCCACTTCTGCATGAACTGGAGATTGAGCCTATGTCTCCTAAGCCACATGCTGACACTTCAACGCACGCTCACCTTCCTGTTATTCCTTCTCCACACAAATGAGGGCTAGAAAATCAGCAACCTTAGAAAAGTCACCTTCTGGTGACATGGATCCCACCGAGTGCCGAAAAGGAGAGACCAAACTCACTGTGAGCAGCATGAGCACAACCTCCAGAGCTTTCTAGCACTGAAGGTCCAAGATGCTTTCATGCCACTCCTGCTCCACGAGTCGGCCAGAGCCTCAACGTGGAGCACAATTACACAGCACCTCACAGATGCTGGGGTTGCTAATAGGTGTGAGTAATTCAGCAGGCTTGTATTAGCACAACCAGGCACATCCCTGGTTGAAATGATAATCACATGTATGTCACTTCATTGAGCTAAGGAGCTTGGCAAATCTCTCTACAAGGCTGGGTGTCTAGACAAGCAGCCACGCTGAATACCAATTTCATTCAGAGGCAGAAGAAGAGGGGGCCTGGGGAGCCCTCCCCTGTCACTTCCACCCAGCAGTGCTCTGATGACTTTCTGATGTTGCATCCAACCAAAAAGGCTGGTGGGAAAGCTGCTCCCCTCCCATGCCACTGCCCCACAAAGCCTTCCCCTTCCTCTGTCCAGTGCCCTGCTGCAGCCTGATGCTTCGCCCCAGGCACTGAGGCACAGAGACTGGCAGCGGGGGACACAGGAGTGAGAGACCAGGGCCAGTGGTGCTCCAGGCCACTGAGGCTGAGCTGCCACTTGCCTTCGCTTCTCTCCACAGGGAAGGATGATTTACTGCTGCCTAGTTCTGCCTTGCAGCCAGCTCCCTCCTCCTGCCTCTCCAGTGGTCCGTTTGATCATTCTGGTTCTTTCCATTGCGTAAGCTTTGTCCTGATACAAGAGTTAGCAACAATAAGCACTTCTGGGCAGGCACAGTTAACTAGAAGTGTTATTAAGCCACTAGAAATAAGTAAAATGTACCCCTCTTCACCTGCAGATGAAGACTACAACATGAAGATCGGACAAGGGAGTGCTATGGTGCTGGGACCTCTGCCACCCTGCACCCATGGCAGGATCCTTCCTTCCCTGCAGATCTGGCATCCTGGAGCAGAATATAGCATTAGTAGGTTTGTATTTACAGAGCCCCGCACGAAGCAGAGCAGCTTGTTTTTTGGGGTGGCAGTAAACCTCACATCTGCTCCAAAGGGCATTTCTGAGGCTCAAATCGCAGGTACTGCCATCCACCAGGATCAGAGACCAGGAAAGAGAGTTGTTCCAGGGGAAAGCAAACCAGCATTTGGCTTGGAGAGACCCATGGAGAGCGTGGTCCAGGGAAGAAGAAGAAGGAGCTCTTAATGGTACAAAACTCTGCCTGCAGGAAGATGATGTGTTAGGAAAAGGGACAGAGGCTATGCAAGCAAATCTGCAGCTGGGATTCCAGAAACAAAGCAGCTTAAAAATAGGCAGCAGAGACAGAAAAGGCATATTAGATCATCTTGTGTTCTCCCTCATTGTGCCAATGCAAGATTGTTCCCTGCAGAATATTCTCTGCTGCTCCCATAAATGTCAGCTAGGATGGAGCACGTAGTAAAGATTATTCAGAGAGGATGGGGAAGGGGAAGAGGATTATGTACTGGCAGAAAGGAGCGATGGGAAATGCCATTTAACTAGACCATGTGTTTGCAGGCACCCCAGTTCCCCTCCTGACTGTGTGAGCAATTTATGTCGTTACAGAGCGAGGTCCCAAACCTCTGCCTTGCGGCCCCGGCCACCAGAAAGGATGAGAAATTGAGTACAGCCCCAAACCACAGGTTGCCAGTTGGCTTTGCGAGCGACGTGGGCGAACAGGAAGGATGCTGGGCTCCATGGAGCCAAGGCGGGAGGACGCGCAGAGCCAGCCCTGGCTACGGGCTGCTGGAGGCCGGGCGGGGGAGCTGCTCTGCCGCGAATTCCCCGACAGCCCCACTCGCTGCCGCTCACCCACCTCCAGGCACTTGATAACCACGAGCCAGTATTAAGATTCCTGGTGCAAATACAGGCAAACAGAGAGAGGAGGTGACTCTCCCAAAGGGACTAGTCCAACCTCAGGCACTAATGTGACCCAGCAAGCTCTCCTGGCTGGAGACAGATCCTCTCTTCCAGAGGGACATCCAGCGCCAAGATCCTGACCAAGCTGCTCTGTGTGGTCAGTGGGGACCCACACACTGCTCCAAAGGGGAAACTGAAATGATGTGAATCGGCCCCCAAATTCCTCCTGTGTTGGCAACTGCTATGGAGTGGAACCATGGATTGTGCCCGTCAAGCTCTTGACATGTCACAGGTTCAGCTGGACCAGAATGGCACTGGGTGGGTTTAGTGCTTCTCATGCAGCTCCCATGGGAAAGCCTCTTCCCATCCCACAGCAAAGGCCTGGGGTGCCCTGCATTTCCAGGCCAGGTAGGGACATGCCACAGATGGGCTGGCTCCAGCTCCCTCCCCAGTGCCCCAGAAATTAGTGCTCAGGGACTCATTTCTGCTTTCAATCATTGTCGGGTGATACTTCATCCAAGCACATCCTCTTCCAATCTCCCCGCACATCCTCTCTCTTACCTTCTCCCACCTCTGTGTTTAAACCCAATTCCCCACATATCATTATACCTCTTAGAAGTGAATATCGATTTTGGAGCTGAACGCAGGGCCCAGGTGGCATTCCAGCACACCAGGACAGTAAAGACCTAGCAGCATTCATACCCATTCCTGATTATAGGATTTTCCTTAAAAAGAAGCATTACATCAGGGAAATTCCCTGCACTGGGCTAAGGATTCAGGAGGCCCAGTTGCCATGACAGCCCCCTGCTCCCACAGGTCTTGCTGTGTGCTTCATCTGCTCATTCCAGCACTCAGTGTTTGGTCCAATCCATGTTATCACAGGGGCTAAATCACTATTGGAGCTCATGCCCAGCTTCCCAGTTTTGCCTTGCCAATGGGGCTGGGTGGCAAGTCCTTGGTTTACTGCTTTCCACTCACCTTTAAATAAATACAGCCTTGAGAGGGCTCCAAATGGATACAAGCAGCCGCAGCACATACCTACCTGTTAGAGGCAGGACTGCTTCCACCCTTCTGCAACTTCCAAAGAGACAAAGTGATTCGGGAGCACAGAAAGGAGTTTTTCAAGGCTTTTTGGTGCCTCCCACACTAAATAATCCTGCTTTTCCTTACAGCTTGGACTGGACAACAACGCAGACACTGCGATGAGATTTTGCCTGCGCTCTGTTCCCTGGCTAGTTTCCAGGGAAGTCAATGCAATATTAATCCCCAGCACTCGGTCCCCTTGGAACATGGATGAATGTTCAAAGACACTGAATGGCTTCAGCAGAATAAAGATGGGCATTTTACCGACACAAAGGAACAGGGATGACTGGCAGATCGAGAAGAAGGTGCAATCAGAAAGCGAACACAGAGGAGGAGAAGAACAGCATGGAAGCAAAGCCCCCTGGGGCACAGTGCCCTGTCCTCCCCCCACTCCCACACCTGGAAGGAGCCCTGTGCTAAGTCTGATATGCCATAAAGATTACAGTTAATTAGGAGGAAATGTGGAAAGAACAGATATGTGCCTTCATCTTAGATGAAGCCAATGGAAACTACGCACCATCTGAATCCCAAGAAACTTCTCATCCTCTATTGACACACGCAGACCTAAGAGGGCACTTCCAGAAATACCAAATGAAATTCCAATCACTAAAACCCAGCAGGACCCGTGCTCCTGCCAGCCTTTCCAGGCTCTTCCAAGCAATAGCTTCTCCCATCCTTAACTGAGACTTGGCTGTGTCTTTACTGAGTGTTCAAACACTTCTACTGCGGTAGCCTTTACACAGATGCTTTTTTTTCTCCCTCATCCTGAAGGCTCCCAAAATAGTCACTCCCTTCTCTCCTTGCTTGCCTATTCCCAAGGACGTGGATATGAGGAGCACCCCTCATGCCTACCTGCAGCTCCAAGCCTGTTCTCGACAGGGAATTGGTGGGATTACAACAGGTTCACTGCGCTTCCCTCAGTCCTCCCGAGACTCCCAGCCCCTCAAAACGACGCTTCCCTGCTCTCACCTTGGCACAGGGGGATCGCTTTGTTCCAGTGGAAGTAGCCCTGAGGGTGCTGGGAGCAGGTGGTGGTGCTGTGGCCAACAAGCCGGTAGCCTGCGTCGCAGCCGAAGCGGAGCGTGCTGCCGGGCTGCAGCCCCGTCTGGCTGAGAAGCAGCCCGTGCGCCGGTGCCCGCGGGAGGCTGCAGTAGGGGGCTGCAGGGGAGGGCAGAGGAAAAGAAACCCGTCACTGCACGGGCAGCAGCAAGTCACACTCCCTTCCTGTTCTCAGGAATCACAGGGTGCTTCCCATACCCTGAGGCTGTAGTGGAAACACAATGTGTGATGGATAAACACAAAGCCAAAGGGGGACGGAGTGCAGGGCTGCTCTCCAAGTTCCACTCAGCTCTAGAAATAAAGACTAATTTCTGATAATTAAATATTACTTAATTCATTTACTGAGTAAAGTCATTATTTATTTATGACATCCTGGCAAGTTGTCAGCCCAGTTTTATAACTTCCATTAATTAAGATTTGCTAAGTTCCAAGCTACAGTAATTCATTTTAAGGGATTCTCAGCAAACACTCAGTATCCAGCAGCAAGTTTGTGCTGAATGAGCAACCAGGACTCTGCAGCCCTGCTCCTGTGAGAGCAGTGGCAGAATGCCTGAGCAGGAGCACAATGTGCTTTAAACTGCAAATGCTGTAACACCATCAGCCTCATGCACCAAGCAGCTCCTAACGCAAATTCTTAGGTTTTGTGATGTTCATCTTCAAACATCTCAAAATGGGCTCATTGCAAGGACACAGTAATTCAGCAACACGGCAATCTTCATGGTGAATTACACAGGATGGGTTTCATCCATCTAGAGCCGCGCTGCCTATGGTTAGATGTTCTGGTTCTGAGTCTTTAGAGTGGTGGAGAAACCAGCCAAAGCCTCAAGGTTTCTCCTGGAAGAAAACCTGCCTTCCCCAGCCTCACCAGCTCAGAACAAGCCCAGATTTGGGAGCCTTCCCAGGACTGGCAGCTTCTACCCATACAGATGGCCTATACCCCTCTGCAGCCATTTCCTGGCAATCCTTGGCTGAAGAGATGGCCACATTCCTGGCAGAGACACCCAGTCTCTTCCATGTGCTTACCAGAGTAGCGGATTTTGAAGCCTTTTCTGTTGTAGGCATGATCAGAGGACCAGCGGAGATAGACTCTGTTCCCGCTGCTGGTGACGGTCAGAGGGGCTGAGTAGTTCCCACTCAGTGACAGGAGCAGCGGGCTCTGGCCAGAGGGACCTGCAAGGAAGGAGGGAATGACTTGTGTCCCAACAGACACCCAGAGGAGCATCAGCACAGCACTTGCATTCTGCATCTGGTTACAAAGCTGCTTCCATGTGAATACTGACAGATCCCCTCTCTGTTCAGGAAGGCTCACGGGCCTCGCAAACCTGGTCTGCACGGCTTCAGGGATGAGAATTCCCACCTTCTCAACTCGTCCCTTCCCAGCAACCTCTGCTACGATTTCTCCCAGGAGCTTGCTAACTCCTGCCCCTTTGAAAAATGCTTCAGATCCATCCAAAAATCAAATCATTGATCTTTCCTTTTCCAGAGAATCAATGAGTCTTAAGAGGAGCTTTCTTTAAGTCCAGCATAAGATTACAGGTGCAGTGCTGGAAAGCTCTTCACAGAGTGCTTTGGGAACAGAGATTAGCAGCTAAGAAAGCTCTGCCATTTCCTTCCTTCCCCCTCAGTCACGGCAAACTGGTGAATCTCTTACCATCAAAGATTTCAAACTCATCGTACTGCTTCTCGCTCAGGAAGTACTCTATGGTGAGGGAGATGTTATACCCAGGCTCTACCTTCACCACCCAAGAGCAGGTCTGAAAGTGAGGGTAACTCCCCAGGAAGCTCTGGCTGAGGATCACGCCGGTGGAGTCTGTCAGAACCTCGTTCATTGGGCACTGCACTGCAGGGAATACAGCAGAAAATTCATGTTCCTGGTTTGCAGAGGAAGGAAGGGAACACAAGATGCTGTGGCCATGAAAGTCTGTCTTGAGCCAGGTCAAGATAGAGCATAAGTCCCACCTGCGTGCACCCGCTGCACACCTTCACCCGCCCAGAAGATCCCCAGACCCTGAGGTACTCATTCTCCACAAAAAGCTTGCTGTGCTTCCACAGATCCAAGCGATCGCCCCGTTTCAAGGCCCTGTTTAAGGGGGCTGAAAGGAACAATGCAAATGCAGAATTTCAACGCCGCATCTCTCACAAAAGGAGTAACACTGCAACCACAAGACTATTCTTAAGTTGCAAAACTCTCCCCGGGAATCCCTGGAAACTTTATTATCTGGCTTAGAACAAGGTTTGGAACTACAGGCTTAACCCAGGTCACCCATGAACTTGTTAACCAGGACATACGAACTCCAACTCCTTTCTCTAATCACTGCTCCCCACTGAGCTTCTAGAAACATTTAATCCAGCTGAAGACACTACATAAAAAGATCAGCAAAAACACCCCAGAAGAGGAGGCGAACACACAAAGCAAGCAAAAGCATAAAAAGAAAGGGATCTTTATTTATCCACAATTGTCACTTAAGTCCAGTGCAAACACTATACTTGGATTAATAGAAAACAGCCAGAACTACCCAGAAAGAACAGTATATTCTTTCCAAATCCTTAATCCCATCAGTCATTTTTTGACCTCCATAAATTGGTGGCCAGATGTAATTTAAGCAGTCCCTTTACCCCCAGGCTAACAGCCATCAGTAAATAATTGAATGACCTCCCTTTCTATCCCTCGGTTCATGCTATTTCAGAGAGAATAAAGCCATAGAAAAATATCCTATTAAATGGTAAAAATGTTCAAATAGGAGGGAATGAAGGCGATGAAATAATCACGGCTGGAGCGAACAAAGATACAAGCAGGAATCCA